TATAACCACAAACTGGAGGGATAAACTGAGCAGCTCAGACCCAATTTGCCTTAGACAGAAAGCAATGGTTGATACTCCTTGATAGACATGGTTTGCAATACTTTGCAGTAACACATTAGTGAGCCAGGACCCTGAAGTTTATTTAAGCCTACAGTACATCAGACTATTGTACCTTTCCGACCAAACATTTTATTTCCATGTTTGCAGACAAAGTTATCTGAAGAGTACGGTATATACATTATGGTATGTTAATTCATTTTCCAGTGTTTTTTTTTTTAAAAAAAACTTCTACTACATCTCTTATTTGATGAACACTAATTCTATATTTGGTCCTCCAAAAAGAAAGAAAGAAAGAAAGAAAGAAAGAAAGAAAGAAAGAAAGAAAGAAAGAAAGAAAGAAAGAAAGAAAGAAAGAAAGAAAGAAAGAAAGAAAGAAAGAAAGAAAGAAAGAAGGTTGTTTCAATACATTGCATCTCTGCTGCCATCATTTTGTCAGATAGTTTCCAAGTCAGAATAGTTTCCACTTGCCTTATTTTCCTTGGCACCCTTCCATTTGCTTATCTTGCATAGTATTCATATTCTCAGTTCTCTACAAAAGTGCTGCTATCACCTTCACATTTGGTTCACCGTTATGAAATTGTTCCACTTTACACCTGCCATTTGAGAAAAACAAACATGTCCCTCTCCAAAGTCCATACCAGTGCTTCCCCTTAAAAGCATTTGGGGGGGGTTACCCCCTCATAACATGATGCTTACAGCATGCTAACTTCATCACATGGTTGATTTGAGGACAGATAACGTGGTTTTCATCAATCAACATTGAATCTATTGTTGAATGTGAAGCTTGGCCTTTCCGTACAATCTGCCATCTATTTTAATCCCCTCATGCACAAGGATAAAAATGATTTTTCATTTGTTTTTAATGTCATGTTTGAATTGAAGAGTATTTTCACACATGCACTCACACACAAATGAACACACATTCAGTGTACTGTAGGTATAAAAGCACCCCATGTCCAATGAATGTTTGCAGACTGAAGTTTTTTCTCCCCAGGACCAGAAAATGCATGTTGGAACAAAAATAAAATAAAATTCAATGCACACTTCTTGTATTATTGGATGTTTCCAAATCCAAATAAATTCCAGTGTCTCCCCCTCAAAAGATTTTCGATTATTTCAGAATAGTACCAACTTACTAACAACCAAAGAACATAACTTTTGCTTTGCTACGTTAGAGTTCACACATGCCTGAAAAATGGCCTGGACCTTTTTTGTCCCAATCTGCTAGTTTGTTGGGGACCGAAATGTACATTTTTAAAATGTTCTGCTTATTAAAACAGCATACATCTATTTAAAAAAACCGCTGGAGGAACAAAATGGCCCATTGCATTGCAAGAATGTGAACTGAAAGCATAAGAAACTCTATTCTTTAAAAAGAAAGGGCAACAGAAAACAATTTTTTTACAAAGATTAAAGGAGGCTTTTTTGAGGAAGCAGTGATCTATTAAAACTAGTCATTCTCTTTTTTTTAATAACAATACAATAATATATCCTTGTACATACTGTACAGTGGATGAAATTATGTTGCTTAACATAGTAAGCTGTACTAATGTTAATCCATTTGAAACTATGAAACTTATGGAAGAGTTGGCCCTGGGCCCTTATTCTTTAATTTTTAAATTCTTTTCAGCTCTAGTGGCCATATTGTCTGGGGGATTATGGGAGTCATAGATTTATTTTTTTAAAAAAAACTTTTCTAAATTCTGCTTTTACCAATGCAATGAGAGCTGAGATAAGTTCAGGGGCCCTGAATGAAAAAAAAAATGCAGCAGTCTTCATATAAACATGGAGGTTGCCATGATGACAGCCATCTTCTTTTTCCACATACTATTCCAGATGTTGATTCAGGTCCATGGCACTGTGGAAAATAACATGGATGTTATCAGGAGCTGCTAATACCAGTACAATTAAGGCAAGCCCTAACACTTCCCATTAATATAATAAAATGCAAACCCAACTAATAGGAGAAAGGACAATGTGTTAGCCTCCACCTAAAGGCCTAATGAACCTGTTGGAAATGACCCTGCCAGCAGTGCTTCTTCTAACTTGGAAATGAATGGCGAAATAGTACTGGATCTAGCTATGTGCAGATTTATGTTCTTGGACATCAGCTCCTGGAATTCCCCTGGCAGCACATTCCAGAATTGGTCTGCAACTCTCAAAATCCTCCAAGAATTCCCCATGTGGTCTGAAACTACAAATCTGCACACCTGTACTTAGTGACTGCCTCAGTGTTTCACACTGCTAGAACTGCTGCTGCCATCTTTTCTGTTTACACCTGCAAGCGTACATGCATGCACATGCGCGTGCGCACACACACACACACATACATGTGTGCGCGCGCACGCACGCACGCACACACGCACGCACACACACACCATTTCCTCACAAAGGCAGACAAGGTGGGGAAGGAAGAGGCTTCTGCGCAAAAAGGCCCACTCACATCTTGTGATTTCCACACAAAGGCAGACAAGGTGGGGCAGGAAGAGGCTCCTGCGCAAAAAGGCCCACTCACATCTTGTGCCAGCAAGCTCTCCCCTTCTTTTGCTTTCTCTCTCCCATAAGCATGCCAGTGTGTGAGCTTGTGTGAAGGTGTGCTGATTTGTGTTTTCGGACTGCAGCTCCCATAATTCTGCACTGGGAATTATTGGGGAATGCTAAGAGTTGACTTCCAAATGCACCAGTCTCTACTGGCTTACCAGTTCTCTTTAGTTTACAGATTAACAGACACACCTTTTTGAAACTCTTACCCATTCCTCTCATCCCCATTGCTCATCTGGGGGCTGTTTGCTTGCCTAGTAACCAGGTCTCAGACCCAGAGGCAAAGAGGAACTAATGCACATTTTCCAAACACAGTTGCAACTGTAGATTGTAGCTGAATAAGACCTAGGAGAAGAACAAAAGGAAAATGAAGTAAGGAAATAGATGAGACAGCAGGTGGAGCTGAGGTCTCAAGGGGCAGAAGTGGGGAGGTGGTAGAACCAAGGGAGAGAACTCTAGAACAAAGCTATCCAGGAAAGGAAACTGATTCCAGCAGCCTCCTCTTTGTTGTACAGAAGATGGTGCTTAGAATTATCACTTTTAGTAAAAAGGTCTCTGAGTATGAACTATATATTTGCCAGCCAGTGGAGAGAGAGATGAGGTAGCCTTCAGGAGGCCTGGATTCAAATACTTAACTTGACCATGGAGACTCTCTTGGGTGGGGCAGCAATGCTAAAGTGGTTGCTTAAGTCTCTCAAATACCTTGAGAACACCGTAAGTCATATGTGACTTGATGGCACTTCTTCCCCCACCCTTCTCTCTCTCTCTCTCTCACTCACTCACTCACTCACTCACTCACTCACTCACTCACACACACACACACACACACACACACACACACACACAGGAAAGAGAAAAGATGGAGTCTGCTACCACCTGCTATGCAGCTAACAGAGAGAGAAAGAGAGAGAGAGAGAGAGAGAGAGAGAGAGAGGAGATGCATGGAAGGAAGTGAAGCCAAGCCTCAGAGTTCCAAGCTGTAGGAGAAGGGGTAACACAGCAGATAATGCAAAGAGCAGAATGCACTACAAACTACCTGTCTCAACCTCTATTGCCCCCTGAAGATGTACTCCCAGCATCCCCAGTACAAAAGTGATCAAGAAAGTTGTTGGTCTACTAAGACAGTGGTTCCCAATCTTGGGTCCCTGGATGTTCTTGGACTGCTGCCCCCAGGAGCATTTATCACTAGTTGTGCTGGCCACGATTTTGGGAAGTTGTAGTCCATGAAAATCTGGGGACCCAAGGATGGGAACCAAGATTTCGGGAAGTTGTAGTCCATGAAAATCTGGAGACCCAAGGATGGGAACCATTGGTCTAAGAAGTACGTCTGGGCTTTCCTTGAAAGTCAAATGACATCATCCATTTTCTCTACTAGCCAAGAAAAGGTAAAGGTTCCCTTTGACCGTTAGTCCAGTCATGTCTGACTCTAGTGCATGGTCTCATCCCTGTCTCCAAGGCATAGAGCCAGTGTTTGTCCGTAGAGAGTTTCCGTGGACACGTGGCCAGCGTGACTAGACACGGAACGCCGTTACCTTCCCACTGTGGTGGTACCTATTTATCTACTCACATTTACATGCTTTCGAACTGATAGGTTAGCAGTAGCCAAGAAAACTATCATTAATTCCAATATCTTATCCTAGCCTTTATGCACCATAGCAAAATGGTATGGTTTTTCAGATAAGATAATTGCACTAATAAACATTATGTACAAAAGACTCACAAACTGCTTTTAAAATAAGGAAGAATAAAGTAACCCTCACAGTTTAACATTTGAGTATAAATCTGTAGCTACCAGTCAAAGTGTATGTGCACACACACACACACACACACACACACACACACACTTTTTTAAAAAAAAAATGAAATATTTGGCCTGCGCCACACTTTTTTTTAAAAAAAATGAAATATTTGGCCTGGGCTTTGAGGCTATTGCTGGCTCTGTAGGCTACTTAAGCATTGGTAGATACCATTAAATTATCTGGCGGAGAACTGAAGAGAGGCAAATGGATAAATATAAAAGAGTACTCCCTGACTGAAAAGATAACTCTTGTGATTCTCATTTTAATATATTAGTTGTTCTTTGCTTGTTTTTAAAAAAAATGAAATATTTGGCCTGGGCTTTGAGGCTATTGCTGGCTCTGTAGGCTACTTAAGCATTGGTAGATACCATTAAATTATCTGGCGGAGAACTGAAGAGAGGCAAATGGATAAATATAAAAGAGTACTCCCTGACTGAAAAGATAACTCTTGTGATTCTCATTTTAATATATTAGTTGTTCTTTGCTTGTGTTTAAATATTTATCTTCTTGGGTTTAAATATTAATTTGGTGTGAAACTTCGCCTTTTCTGGAGAATAAATGATTGATTCAGAGTGTGTGCACGCATTTATATCAGTGAAATGTTGTGACTCAGCAAGTGTCCTTAACTCTAAATCTTAGCAGTTGCCAAGTTCAAACCTTATCTTGCTCTTTATTGCCCCTTGTCATTTAAAACGTGAGATACCTAGACAGACTAGATCCTTATAGAGCTCAAGTGCTCAGTTGAGTGTCTCCTCAACTTAAACATGCAAGAGAACCATTCAGAAGCACTGGGTATTTCGACCTCTGAGTTTTTGACAGCATGGCAAGGTTTCAATCTGTCATACTGTCCTGAAAATGCCACTGTCTGCAATGGCACATCCTGTTTGGTTCCTACTGATGACGAGTTTAACCAAATTTTGAACACAGTTTTGAGTACTGTCCTAACAATCATGTTGGCACTGGTGATGTTCTCCATGGGCTGCAATGTGGAGCTTAAGAAATTTTTAGGACACATCAGAAGGCCATGGGGCATAATTGTGGGTTTTCTTTGCCAGTTTGGAATTATGCCTCTTACCGGTTTTGTGCTGTCGTATGCTTTTGGTATCCTTCCAATACAAGCTATTGTGGTGATCATCATGGGATGCTGTCCTGGCGGAACGTCTTCCAATATTTTAGCCTACTGGGTGGATGGCGACATGGACCTAAGGTAAGAAATATCCTGTTTGTGGCAGAGTTCACATTGTAACTTTCTAGATGTGAAGCTAATTGGAATAGAAACAGCAATTAAAGCTGCAATCCTGATCTGGAGGTGAGCCCCAGTGAAGAGGCTTTCCTCTTGATAAGGACTGAAGAGAAAGGCATCAACTTCCATGGTGAGACAGGTCAGCCACTTCTTAATACTCTCTACTTAGAAAACCCTAGAAAGGGTTGTCATAAGTCAGAACTGACTTGACAACACATAATAATAGTAATGTTGTTGTTTTCTATGGGGCTGCACACCACAATGTTGTGTTAGAAACTACTTTTTTGGAACCTCTAGAAGTCAATTACTATTTTTAAAATGCATATGTAAACTCTGTTGGGTGCATAGAGCCACTAATGAGATTCTGAGGATGGCTGTGGGTGGTATCAAATGACTGATCACTTTCTCATCACTAAGCACACTTTGATGGGTGACATCTATTCAGTTTGCTGTTCCCTGCAGAACTACAGATGTCACCCATAATGCAGTCAGTATCCTATGCAAGACCACAGGTGCAGGTGAATATACCCAGAGCAAAAAGTTCTACAGACCAATCACAGGGCATATCATCATCCCCTGTATTTATCACCTGCTCGTTTGCTGCCCGGGGAGCTAGCCTGATCTGATCAAGCACAGCTTTTGTTCTGTTCTGCTCTGGATAGCTGATGGACCCATCCTGATGCCCAGAAGATTTAGCTGACTTCATTCCTGATTTTTTTTTTCCTTCATTCACTCATGTGAACATCTCCTCTGCTTAGAAGGGATGTTTCCAAAACCTCTCTTGTACACATATGCATCCTACTGCTGAAAGCTGTTCTGCAGCTTCACCAGCACTGTGAAGATTAACAGCCTGGGTGTGGATTTCCAAACAGAGATGTATTCGGAGTAATGTATAGAGCCTACAGTAACACATTGCTGATGCACCACATGCCAACTGTCTTTTCTATACTAGGGCAAAGGAATTTTCCTCAATTGTGGGCACTACTGTTAATGACAGGAATATCAAGTTCCAAAATGGATTTTTAAAAGGAACACTTTTTTTAAAAGTTTGAGAAAATATGTAATTGACCGATTTCAAAGGATGACATTTAAGCCCTTGTTTATACATTACATGATCCTAGTGTGTCTTTAGCTGAGTGTGACAGTATGGAATTTTATAGTGATACTCTCTGTAAAGGGGGGGGACATATATTACACATGCTTTCTAAGAAGTCTGATAGAATTCAGTTAAATTTATTCATGAGCAAGATTTTTTTTTTCCAGAAGTAAGCCCCATTAAATTCTATGAGACTCACTTCCGAGGAAGTAAATATAGGATTACTCTGTGAATGTATATCCCATGAGACAGACAGACAGACAAATAGGTGCTCCAACTCTGTATAAAAGCAGATTACTGGCTTTAAAGCGGGAGTGATGAGTACATGGGCATGTGTGGTCATACACACACACACACACACAGAGAGAGAGAGAGAGAGAGAGAGCCTGTTTTTACAGGCCCCACTGCCCCCTTTGCATCTAATGCCAAATGCTGCCAACTGTTCTCCTAAAAATAGGTGGTAGCCACACAACATTAAGCCAGTTTCTTTCTTTCAAAAAGAGAAGGGGATGCTTTGCCATGCAGATTGGCAACATTCTGTAGTGCGGGAGAACAATTTGGAACTCTTCTGCACCATTATCAGCCCAATCCCTGCATTTACTCAGAGATGGCTAATCCGAGTGCACAGAGTTTTGTCACAAGTACGTGTGGCTGTGATTGCAACATGACAATATAATCCTCTACATATATACTCAGTAAATTCCATTCTTTAAAGCTGATCTTACTTCTAGGCAAGTGTATATAAGAATACATCTACAATCCAGCTTCAGCTATGGATTTCACAGTGCTGACTTCTCTGCATCCAGTTTTCAGCTCCCTTGGCTTACTGTTCCTAGCACTGTCATGTAACTGACAGGTTTCTGTGAGTCAGCATTCTGTTCCCTGATATCCTAAAATTGAACATTAAAAATCCACGGGGCAAAAATAATGCCAAGAGTTCTGGAGTTCTCTAGGTTCCTGTACTAATCAGATGCCACTGGCTGCAGTTGTGCAATGCTTCCCAACAGTCTTCTGGTAACATAGGGGAAGAGAAGAGGGCAAAACCTTATCCAGCCAGTTTATGTGACATCCTATAGTCCCTTCAGTCATATTTCAAAGAGCCATAGGATGCGGGGCAGCGTGTATCTGTGCTGATCCTCTACTCATTTGACTTATTGATGAAAATGGCTTTATAGCTAGTTTGTTGTTATCAATAACCATGAATGATTCTCTTGCAGCATCAGTATGACAACATGTTCAACCTTGTTGGCCTTGGGAATGATGCCACTTTGTCTCTTGATTTATACCAAAATCTGGACAGACTACAATTCCATTTTAATCCCCTATGATAGCATTGGTAAGTTATATCCTTGGGCCCCTTTGTTGGGAAAAAGACGGGATGTGAATAAAACACAAGCATGCATGTTCTTTCTTTCTGCTCAACAACCATCTACAATGCTCCGTGTGCAGTCACGAAAGCAGCAAAATCAGACAGCTGGACGGGGTACAGATTGTATTTGTCTTCAGTGTGGGATTGTCACTCTCGAATTGGCCTTCTCAGCCACACTAGATGCTGTTCCAAGTCCTCCATACAGAGTATGTTACCATAGTCTCTCGAGACTGAAGGAGGCCTAATCTATTGAATGACTACATAACAGCACCTTTGTTTCTAAGGTGGGGACTGGTAGGTATGCTGCTTCAGCAGTTCTTGCTCCTCTAGTCTTAATGAATGACCAAAGGGGTCTCTTTCTAGCCCTGTGGCGGAATCCTCAAGTGTTCATTGGTTACAAGTCCTAGAATTTCTGATCAATGGATTATGCAGACTGAGAATCTTGGGAAACCCAAAATCTGTGAAGCCAAAGGTTGGGAACACTGTGCCAGGCTATGGAAGTAAGAGAAACTAGTGTGACACAGGCTTTCCATCAGGTTTTCACTGAAGGCAGAATATATGGGTACGTCAGTGAGTGTCAATATATCTATTTGTGTGTGTGTTTGTGTGTGTGTGTTTGTGTGTGCGTGTGTGTGTGTGTGTGTGTGAGTGAGTGAGTGAGTGAGTGAGTGAGTGAGTGAGTGAAACTACACTGACATCCATTAGCCCTTGAATCCGCAAGGAAAGCTCTATTTTTCATTCCCCCTTAACCGATAAGAAGCACAGGGTTGTTGCCAATAGAATGGTATGCACAGTTTGTGGACAATGAGAATTTCATGTGCTTAAAACATATCTTAAAGCCTTTATACCATATACAGAAGACTTCTCTAAGGTCCATTTCTGTGCTCATAGTTACCCCAGTAGCAGGTCCAAACAGGATGGCAGCATGTTCAGCAATATAGAAAGATTTGGTTTGTTCATTAGTCTCCTTAGATAAAGAAACTAAAATGGGAACATGTTCCTGAAGAATACAGAAGTCTACACCAACTTTGGCATAGCAGCCCATCCATCTTGTAAGTCAGTATGGATCTTGGAAAAAAACCGGAGATCTATTGACCTACTCTGTGTGTGATAGAAAGCTTCTGACATTTTTCATCATCAGAATTGGTGGGTTGTTGTGGAATGTTCAGTTGTTTCTATGAGGAAAGAGAAAATGTGTTAATGTGATGGAATAAAAAGCTTCCCTAAGATCAAGCAGAAGATTGATTTTAGGATGTAAAGATGTAAAGAGCGGCATAGCCAGAGGCAAGGAAGTTGAAGAAAGACTGCAGAGGCAGTGGACTATCCATGCTAAACATGAAGGAAGGGTAAAGAGTGCAGAAAACCTTTTGGCTCTATAGCAGTGGTTTCCAAACTCGAGTCCCAGATGTTCTTGGACAACAACTCCCAGAAATCCTGAACATACATTTATTTATTTATTTATTTATTTATTTATTTATTTATTTATTTATTTATTTATTTATTTATTTATTTATTTATTTATTTATTTATTTATTTATTGGACTTACATGCCGCCCATCTAGACACAGTCTACTCTGGGCGGCTCACAACCAAGAACATAAAAACAATTAACATATAAGATAACAGCACAGCTAGTGGAATTTTACTGTATTTTTCTGTGTATAAAACAACTCTTTTCCCTAAAATAATTAGAGGAAAAATTGAGGGTCATTTTATACGGAAGGCAGCAGCAGGAGGCGGAGATTGAGACAAAGAAGCAACCTCACTCAGTCGCCTCTCACGGCTGCCCATTGACTGCTGCCACTGCTGCCCAATTGCCTCCTCTAGCAATAGTCTCCTTACGATCGGGTGGCAGCAGCAGCAGTCAAGGGGAAGCCATGAGAGGCAGCCGAGCACACTGCTTCTTTGCCTCAGTCTCTGCCTCCTCCTGCTGCTGCCTCCACCGCTGGTTGTGGACTCAGTGATCGTGCAGCCCTTTGACCTCTGTTTTCCCTTTCCTTTTGCTAGGCCCCAGGTTTAGGAGGTGGAGGTGGAAAGCAGCAATCAAATTTTTTAATTTGGGGTTAGAAAAGTGGGAGTCATCTTATACATCGGGTCATCTTATAAACAGAAAAATACGGTAATTCCAGAACATCCGGGCTGACTGGGCACCACTGCTGTATGGTATGACACTATGGGAGACAAAAGCACTAGGGTTACTATTCAAGAAATGCAGTCATTAAACAAGGAGGGCAAAATAGGTAGGGGATTTCAAAATTGAAAGCTGAGGAAACAATAGGTGGTGGAGAAATAAAGAAGGGAAGAGCTGAGTAGAATTTAGGTCTGAAGGAAACTTCAGTGTGTCAGAGGAGAAAGCAGAGAAGCAGGAGAATTCTAGGGGGCTCGATATCTTGTGGCCAAGGGGCCATAGGATATTCAACCAGCTTTCTCCAATGTATGTACCTCTCTATTCTGGATGCTACAACTCTAATCGTCTCTGCCCATTTGCCCTGCTGGCTAAACCTCATGGGAGCTGCAGCTCAACATTTCTGGAGAGACTTCCATGGAAGACAGCTGATCTGGACTGTGACAAAAGGTCTGCACAAGTTGTGGCTTTTCCTGTCCACAGCCTTGTAATTGGGTATCTCTAAAGAGGCAATGAAATCCAAGTAATTTCATATATTGATTTAAACAGAGCTGCCGGTTCTTTGCCAACCAGTTTCTTGTCAACCTGACTTGCCTTAGGATCCAAAATTGCCTTCAAATCAATACCATTCTCTTTGTAAGACATGTCGCCGTGACCATGCAGTGTTCGCCACAGTGGTATTACTTTCTGTCTCCACTTCCAAAGAGCAAGAAACTCTCCGTTTCCCCACCCTCCACTTTTTTCTTCTTCTTCTTTTCTTTTCTTTTTAAAAAAAAACCCAAGAACTATACAACACCACACAGTAAATCACTTTTTTCTTCTCCTTTTCTTTTCTTTTCTTTTTTTAAAAAAAACCCCAAGAACTATACAACACCACACAGTAAAAGGCACTATAAGCTGGTACCCATTACAAAAGCACCCAAAGGCAAAAATCAATGTTTAGTAGGATCATAAAAAGAAAAAGTAGAGTACAGAACGACAATAAAAAGAATGGGTAGGCTACAGAATGACAATGATTATCATTGCGGGGAAATTGTTATCCAGCTGGATGGATGCGTGTAGCGCTATGATTAGGCAACCAGGCTATCAAGCATATAGCAGTGGAGAGTCAGCAAGACAGTTGATCAGGGAGGCCTTCCTCAGGGAGGAAGCTCGGTGGGTGACCTTGTTGAACCAGTCACTCTCCTTGTTGTCAGAGTCTCCAAAGAGGCAGCCCCAGGCTTCTTCAATAAAAATATGGTAAATAAATAGCCTATTGTATAACAGATAAAGCACAATTCAGTAGGAGAGAAAAATGGGTAAAGAAATTGATCTCCTCAAGTCTGTGTTTGTAAAGGATCTCATTGTTCAGAGTACATTCTTCTCAGCCTTGGGGCCGTCTGCCCAATTTATCCTGCTTTTGTATTTCCAGGCATTTCGCTGGTTGCACTTGTTGTTCCTGTTTCATTTGGGATATTTTTCAAGCACCGGTGGCCCACAAAAGCTAAAATCATATTGAAGGTAAGACCTGAAAACATTCAATAACATGCCTTCCCCCCTCCCCTCCGCCTCACAAAGGATGGAGCCTGCTTGTTACCAGAGCCCAAAACACACATTTTCTCCCCAGCAGTGTCATCTGCTTACTTATGCATGACTCCAGAATTAGACATACAATGGCAGACATTGCTTATGCTCCACAGACGACTCCAGTAGATTCTGTGCTTCTTCTTGTAATGTGTTTTACAATTGCACCTTTTTACCAACTCAAGGGAGCACTCCTTCTAAAATAGACTTCTGTGAGGCTGTGCTTTGGTTCTTAGACAGTTCCTTGGATGTCTCATCTGTCCAAACATGAGGGCTCTGGGTGAATAATAAAGTAATTGTTAGAGAACACCATAAATCCAAAGATGGCAGTAGAAAGAACACCCTATTCACACAGAGGGAGACAGGGCATTTTGCAAAAATATAATAAACTTAATAAGTTAACTATTGCTGGTCAGTTACTTTTAAATGGTACCTCCAAAAGATCCACAGGCTGGGCTGTATCAGTACACCAAACATTAGGGCTCACTTGGACTCCACCATGTACAAGGTGCAATGGAAATTTGAAGTTTACCATTTCTGCTGGTGGAACCCTTTATATGAATAACTTTTTACAATATTTGTACAATGAGGTCATTGTCCCTTCTCTTCCATATCTCAGGTCGGTTCCATTAGTGGCGCAGTTCTCATAGTGATCATCGCTGTGGTCGGTGGGATATTGTACAAAGGTTCCTGGACTATCACACCTAACCTCTGGATTATTGGCACCATCTTTCCAGCTGCTGGTTATTCACTAGGCTTTCTTCTGGCTCGTATAGCAGGCCAGCCCTGGCACAGGTAACACTCGTTTCCACAAATCAGGTCTACAATTCATTTTGCTTTAATTTAGAAATGAACCAATTGCAAGAAACATGCCAGAACTCAATTAACTATCCAAAGGTCATGTGCTGTTTTCCTGTATAGAGAGAACATTTTCATGTAAAGACCCTGCTCACCCTCCCATCTTCTTTGAAAACAACTGATATTTCTCCTTCTTACAAACCTCCATTCCTAACCCCCCCCCATATCACCCCAAATGGCTTATATGAAGTTCATTAAAAAAAACACACACACAACCCTGAGTCAGAAGCCTGAACTAGAGATGGGCATGACTCATTTCATGCCACGTTGTCGCAAATCATCCTGTCCCCCACCTCACCCCAAGGCTGGTTCCCACACACATTAGCTGGTGCAAGTTGCTCGCTTAGACGAGGAGGCAAGGAGGGGATTCCTGTAGCACTGCCTTTAAGTGGGCAGCTACTGGAGGAGGCAGAGAAGGGAAGTCCATGCTCCTGCTGCAACTGGACAGTCACACAAATGGCAAGACAGGAGCAGCGCGTGCAAGCTGGTGAGGGAGGGAGCCAGCTGGAAGGTGGGGGAAGGGAACGTGCGGCATCTCTTGCAACGATGCAGCACAAAGCAAGTTGTGACCCTTTAATCAGCCTTTCCCAACCTTGGACACCCAGACCTTACTGGATTACAGCTCCCACCATGTCTAACCAGAGGTGGCAGCAACTGTAGTCCAAGAACATCTGGCGAGCCTATGTGAGGAAAGGCTGATTTAGATGAAAACATGCTGAAATCTTTTACGCAAGATCAGTTCAGGATTATCTCTGAGGATAAATGGGTAGGAGCTGTCAAGTCTTGCCACTATACCTACATCCATTATGGTTTACTCAACATGTGATTTCACATTGTTTGCACAATTTCTTTAAAGGAGCCACAGCTCAATGGTAGAGTACTTGCCCTATATACAGAAGTTCCAGGTTTGATCCCTGGGATATCCTGCTGAAAGGCTCTAGGAAAGTGATTGGGGGGAAGAACTTGGCTTGAGATCTTGAAACATTACTGCTACCCACATGGAATAGATCATGGCTCAGCAATGATTACTTCCACCTGCAAGCACAGTACTAAAGCACGCACACCCATCCATGGGCTGCTCTGCGGTGGAACTCAGCTTTGCTCCCATTTCCTCATTTCTGCTCAGCTGATCAGAGTTTACAGCTGAGCAATGTGGGAAAGATGTCCTAGGGAGTGGCTGTTGAGTCAGAAAATGAGGCCCTATAGGTTGTAGCAGACCCACAAGCCAAGACATTCCCCAGCTCTGGACTGGACAGCCAAAACTAGGCCAAGAATGTGTCTCAGTGTAAGGCAACTGTCTATGTTGCCTGACCATTTGTAAACACTGCTAGACAGTCTCTCAATTATGGAATATACACTATAACCTAAGAAACACAAGGCAGTCTATATTTCTATCCCCGGCCACTATGTTTGAATGCATGTGCTGACTATAACATACCTCTTATAGTAAAGGTTTCAGAATTAGTTCTTTTTAATAATTTCAGTGGGGCACAATACAGTACATAAAAAATGTGAAACATGCATTCAGACAAGGTGAACAGGGGCAGAGAAGACAGAATAATGAGGCATAAAATGGCTTCAGTTGTTCTAGATCTGGTATGTGTACATGCATGTGTGCATGCCATGTGCTGATTGTGCAACAAGGTGTACACCACATCTTTAAAACACTCAAAATAAGGCATGTTATATGATGAATTTTAAGAATTTCTAACACAAATCTTCTGTAACTAACCAGCTATCAAAATACCTTTTAATTAGGACAACAAGTGCCCCTTACCACAAAACCCCCATGCAGCTACATTTTGCAAGTTATGCCTATCCAGCTGTCTGTTATCATGCACAAACAAACCTTTCCTACCTGTGGATGCTAATTAATGACTTCTGCACACCAATGTCACTGGAAAGCCATTCTGTGATTACTCAAGGACATTTTGTTGGTTTGTATGATAAAAGGGACGTTTGCAAAAAGCTGGTCAAGCACATCAGCTGGTCAAGGTACATCAAGGATTGAATTCCAGGCAACATGGATTCACCCAGATTAGCAGCTTCAATATGCATGCAGGCAAAAGCACCCACGAGGGGCATGTATGGAATAGAAGCATAAGGTGCACTTGGCAGCAAAGCCAAGAAGGTCACTTAACCGCCCTATTTGCAGTTTAATGTGTCTGTCTTCCTCTCTATTTTGCCACGTATGCCAGCACAAAATACATTGATGCAATCAAATATTGTAGAATGGGCTCCAGATTGGCTCTTGACAGAGTCGCCCATAGCCAACCTCAAGGCGTGCATTCACTATGCAGGTGAGCCCAGCAGGGAAGCTTACTTTGGATTTGTAAAGAGTATGCTGTCTACCACCTGCCTTCCAAACAATTGCCACCTTGTTCTTGGTTTGGTGAGTAGAGAGGTATCGTGAAATCAACCCAGTGCCTCTTCCACTCTCTTCCCTGCCCTTCCTATTGTATCCGTCCACCCTAAATTAGGAGTTCGTGGGCAGGGAATTTCATGTTAAACTTGGAGAAGTCACTTTTGGCAGGCAACCCCTAGGATCTCAGGGGGTCAACATCCAAACAATAGCTATCTGCAAGGCAGTACTAGAACATTTATGCATGAAATAGTAAGAAGGATGAGTTCTCTATTTACATGGTATGTCCAGCAATGTGTAAATATTTCTATAAGCAAAATGTTGTGACTTTCAGATGCCGCACAGTGGCTTTGGAAACAGGGATGCAGAATAGTCAGCTTTGTACAACCATTGTGCAGCTCTCCTTCAGCCCTGAGCAGCTGGAGCTGATGTTTACATTCCCGCTCATCTACAGTATTTTCCAGCTGGGGTTTGCAGGAATCATTTTGGGAGGTAAGACACTTTCTCGTCCTTTTCTAATATTTTTCTTCAGAAAGCACTCAACAGCACAGATATCTGCAGAGAGGGCACAGAGGGGAACTTGCTCCCCCCTAGAATCCTAACTTTATTTACTATAAAGGGACAGTGTCACAGTGGTGCTACAGATTATGTGTATGGATTGTGCTAACACAGAGATATGCAGCTTTGCATTGCCCTCCCCTGGAATAACGTCTGTGGACACACTTGCTCAATAGGTTCGTATTAGCCACTCTGTTCAAGACCCATATCCTCACTATTACCAAAGAATGAGCATTTTAGAAAGAAAGATAGCAGATTAGTTATTTCTAATCTGAAATAACTCCAATTAGTGAGGCTTATTCCTAGAGAAGCAGACCTAGTTTTGAGATACCCAGTGAAGTGTAATGGACAGAGTGACGGACTAGCACTCTGAAGGTCAGAGTTCAAATCGCTACTCAGCCATGGAAACTCATTGAGGGAGTGAAACAGATAAAACCAGTCCTTATATATCTCACTTCCCTTAGAACTTCTATTTGGGCTGCTGTAAATCAGTTCCATCTTGATGGCATATAACAACAACAACAACAACAACAACAACAACAACAACAACAAATAACATAAGATTGCAGCCCAACCCTTTCTTGAAATGTCAGGATAGCTTTTGTTCCTTCCTTCCTTCCTCCTTTCTTTATGCATGCTATGCTAAGGCCAGGAAGCAAAGTATTTTTTTTCCTGTGTGTTGTGTCTTCAATTTTGCCTACCGCCACTGACCTATGCCAATGTTATTAGTCTATCAGGTGCACAAAAAGTATTTTGCTGATCGAAATAAAGACTTCGCACAGACAGAAAATGAACCTGAGTCCATGTCGGCCTCAAAATACTCAACAATGAATGGAGGATTTGTGTCAGAAGAAGGGACCCCATCCCCTGTGTCAGTGTATCCTAATGGAAGATTATAAATATTGCAAAATTTACTGAACTTTTATATTTGAAAAAAAAATCTTGCTCAGAGGGAAACTTTTTGCGTATCAGACTGTGCTTTTCTACAGAAACTGTGTTTTAAATTATTAAGTTACAGTAGGAGTCTTCAGCATTTTCTCTTATTTCTGAACAACGCCTGGGCAGTGCGCAGGCAGTTCTTTTGATTTTTCTAAAGATCCTAGTATGATGCCCAGTAAAGAAATGCAAGATACAATAAACCAGTTAACTCAAACATCGGAAGTTTTTCCTTTTTTATGTTTCTGTGGATGTGGTTTTGTGATGGCCCAATAAAGTGGAGTGTGTTTGTGTGAGAGAATGTGGATGTGACCAGCCCCAAACCAAGCCTGTCACCTTCCAGTCGCATGCCTGACACCAGCCATTAACCATACTATACCTGGTTTTTCAAGAGTGAATTGCAGGCAATTCAAGCATGATACTGTGCAGCAATATTGGGCCATTTCCTGGCATTTTTAATTCTGGATACCGAAGCACAGTATACCACTTGCATAAACTGGAAGTTTTTATAAGAATTGAATGACCTGGCTTTTTAAAACAGAAGTTTATGTATACATACATTACACATAAATTCCAACAGAATCCTCTCTCATGTAGAATTACCCAGTGCCGGAGCATTCTAGAAGATGATCACATTATCTATATTATAGTTGCTGGGAGGGGACATAAGCAAGAACAGCTGGGGTGTGACTACAGTCCCTCTTTGCCAAAATACTAGGTAAGGACACGGAAAAGGGCCTTCTCTGCTGCTGCTCCGGAACTCCCTCCCATGGGAGGCGAGGGTGGCCCCATCTAGTAAGGACACGGAAAAGGGTCTTCTCTGCTGCTGCTCCCAGACTCTGGAACTCACTCCCATGGGAGGCGAGGGTGGCCCCATCTTTGCTGTCCTTCTGCAAGCAGATGAAGACCTTTCTCTTCAGACAGGCTTTTCTTTAGTACTGGCTGTCTGAGAGGGCTTTTGAATGAATTATTGTGCCGTGTTGCTTTGTATGTACTTCTGGTGTAGATTTTGTGTTCCGTTTTTGTTTGGTATTTTATTTCTTTTGTAATATTTGTATATTTACTGTTTGTAGCTTTAAAATATCATCTTCTACTAATGTAAGCCATGTTAGATTCTTTTAAAGGAGAAAGGCAGGGTAAAAATATTTTAAACAGAAATGAATAAATAAAAATATTTTGAAGTGCTATTTTTGGATTTAATGAAATGGTGATGCAAAGATGTGAATATGTGCAACACATACAGTGGAAACACAAACACACCCTTTTACCTCTCTGGTAAACTAATACTGCTATGCCTGCTCCACAGAATGCAGACTAGAAAGTTATGTACCAATTTCTAAACCCTTTCCTTGGGATAAGCATCCTGAGGAAGAAAAATTATATTGCACCAAAAGCTATATACGGATATGTTGTGTGCAAGTTTTCCGAAAGATGACCCCTCGCCTTTCGAAATAAAAAAAGAAAGAGGTAGCTCAGAATGAGCAAAGATTGTCATTTTGTTAACTCCAGGATCAAAATAATCCATACTATATGAAAGAAAGTCAGCAAAGAAAGATAGGGACAAAAATCAACTCATCTGAAATGTGGTGTTGGAAGATTGCCTTACGCATACCTCAGACAACCAGAAAGGCAGGAAAAGGGTGCTCAATCAAGTCAAGCTGGAACTCTCATTAGAGCAAGAAAGAATAAATTGAGACTACCCCATTTTGAACATATAATGAGAATACACAACTAACCAGGGGGGAAAAAACAATATTGCTGAGAAAAGTGGTGTGAAGGGACAGTAGGAAAAGAGGAGGACCTACCATGAGATGGGCTGAATGAACAAAGGAATCAATCCAACAGATGTTATTTTACAAAACCTGAACAAAATTTACTGGAAACGACAATGTTCGGGGGAAGGGGGCAATAGGAAAAGAGAACAATCTAATATAAGATTATATTGGTCTGCAAGATCTGAGCAGAGCTGTTAATGATAGGACACTTGGGAAATCATTAACTCATATAGTCACCACACATCAGAAGTGACTCGATAGCACAGAACATCTTCAGAGTTTTTTTTTCTTAATTACCAAGCAATTGTACAGTGTCAAGACAGGTGGAGTGGTGTCTATGACAAGTTATAGGCACCAAATTTATCTGTTTATTTATTTAATTTATATCCCGCCCCTCTAGACCAAAGTCTACTCTGGACAGCTAACAACACTCAAGAATAATAAAAAAAATAAAACAACATTAATACAATTGAAAAGAGCAAATAAATTAGGTATTGACAGAAGGGAAGGCCTGCCTAAAGAGCCAGATCTTGAGTTGGCTCTTAAAAATACCCAGCAAGGGAGCCAGACAAATTTCTGGGGGGAGATTGTTCCAGAGATGAGGGGCCACTGCCAAGAAGGCCTGCTTTCTCTTGGGGCCTCCCTCGGCGTTAGGCCCTCAGCCACCCATCTTGACTAAAGTGAGTGAGTCAGGTAGATCTAGGTGGGAGGAGGCGTTCCACCAGATATCAAGGTCCTAAACTGTTTAGGGCTTTATATGTCATCATATAAAATCATGAAATCAATGCGGAAACAAATGGGCAGACAATGCAAGGCACCGCATCAAAGGTAGCCCCACGTAGAGCACATTACAGTAGTCTAATCTTGAGACTACAAGCACATGGACCAGAGTGGTGAGGGCCCCCACATCAAGATAGGAACGCAGCTGGGCAACCCACCAAAGATGGAAATAGGCAGTACAGACCACTGACTCTACCTGGGTCTCCATGGTAAGCACGGGGTCAAGATGGAACCTCAGACTGTGAACCAAATTCTTTGTGGTGAGAGTCAAACACCCCCCAAAAAAGAAACGGAGTTCCCCAAACCACTGACATAATGATCACCCACCCTCAGGACCTCCATCTTGTCCGGTTTCAGCCTCAGACCGTTCACCTGCGTCCATTTCAATATGGCTTCCAGACAGCACTGAAGGGACGAAACGGCATCCACTGTTGTTGGAGACAATGAGATGTAGAGCTGGGTGTCATCCGTGTACTGATGACATAAAGCCCCACACCCCCTGATGACCTGACCCAGCAGCCTCATGTAGATATTAAACAGCAATTGGAAGATAATCAAGCCCTGCGGAACCCCACAATTAAGATTCCATGGAGCCGATACCCTCTCCCCAAGCTGTACTCTCTGGGAACGGTCCTCCAAGAAGGATCAGTGCCAGACCACCGATTCCCAGCTCAGAGAGCCTTCCCAGGAGGATACTGTGGTTGACGGTATCAAAGGCAGCTGAGATATCGAGAAAGACCAACAGAGACATTTTGCTCCTGTCTGCCTCCCTCAGCAGGTCATCAAACAGGGTGACCAATGCTGTTTCCGTACTGTGGTGCAGCCTGAAGCCCAACTGAAATGGATCCAGGGTGTTGGTGCCATCCAAAATGGCCTGGAGCTGATCAGCCACCATCCTCTCTACCGCTGTGCTGAGGAAAGAAACATCGTTGACAGGCCTATAACTGCCAATGTCATCCACCGCCAAACTTGGTTTCTTCCTAATGGGCCTAATGAGGGTCTCCTCCTGGAGAGACCTACAGTGCCCTCACAGTATAATACCAATTTTAATTCTTTTGCAATGGGTAGCAGGGGAACTTTCATTTGTGTGCCCAAACTTAATTCACCAAATTCCTGTGCTATGTACAGTACAACTAAATGACAATCAGAAACTGAGAGGCAATCCATAAAGTTATATTAGGCTCTGGGGTTGCTTGTGCACAGATCTTCATGTGTTTATTAGAGCCATCCAAGTGATGTACACTCTTTCCTTCCCATTTGTCATGAATACTGTGTCCATATTTTTAGTTTGGATTTTTTATATCTTTTTTCCCTAGTGTTTTTACTGTTGCCTTTCTCTTTAGAACATGTCTTGATTGTTTGTGTGATGACTGCATCAATGGTCCCCAACCCTGGGCCTCCAGATGTTCTTGGACTACAACTCCCAGAAGCCTTCACCACCACATCTGCTGGTGAGGATTTCTGGGAGTTGAAGTCCAAGAACATCTGGAGGCCCAAGGTTGGGGACCACTGGGCTACACTACATGACATCTCCAGATATTGCTGAACTGCAACTTTTATTCCATTTTTCTTTAAACAATTCTGAAAAAGAAGTGTCGTATTAGCATCTTTGTTAAAGAGAAGAGAATTGGATTTGTTTGGATGTGAATCCCAGTAAACGGCACGCTCCTCCAACACCGAGTAGTAAAAAAAGGAGCAGGGAATGCTGTATCTGGTAGAACCCTTCATTAATTAATAGAGGACCCTTCTCCTAGCAAATTCAAGGATGTACACATGGTTTTCCTCGTTCCACTTTATCATTGCTGCAACTTTGTCTAAGTAAGTCAGCTGAGTCAGAATAACTCTCCCAAGGTTATCCCATGACTTGTGAGGGGATCAGAACCTGGACCTCCCAAGTTCCATTCCAAACAACTGCTGCACTAACAAGGAGAATACTTAGTCCAGTCACTCCTTTAGAAACATCAAATTAATGCAGCCCGAAAACTGTACTGGGAAAGAGAAATGTTGCAAACCTATGGCATTTATGAAGGGAATGTTAGAATTGTGTCATAGGACTGAATTCAGGCCTCTGGACTAGAAAAATAACACTGAACTTCTTTTACATATTGTGGAACTCTAGCACGAATCACAGAAATCTACATACAAAGCTTTCAGAAGCAGTACGATAAACCTTATCACCCACTGATGTCTGCTCTCTTTATCAACTTGCTGTTGGAAAGCTGAAAAGCAGCTACCACCAGCTAAACTGACTGGTTTAACAGTTGGAGTCCTTAGCCAAACAATTTACTTCAAAGTAGCCATTACATTTGCAGCCATTTTTAACATCAGTAGAAGTAACTTGCTTGTCCCAACTGTGTTTTTTACATGCCACTATTTGCCCAAAGAAACAAACAGGCACATTTTAAAGCATTTGTGCTCAGGAGCCTAACCAGGAAAATCAATTGTATTTCTTCAATATTAGCATCTTGAGCTAAGCCATCTCTTTCCCTAATTTTTGTTCTGTCACACGTACAGCCATTTATTGTTCTGTCAGTGCAATTGCTTTTCAGATGCTTTTCAGCTTCATAGATCTGAATGAACGATAGCCTAGTCAACTCTGTCTGAACAAACTGTAATTGAACCAATATCTCAGAATTTTGGGACCATATCTTGTGTTCAAAGGGAGACATGTAAGGACAAAAATTTAACTACCTGTCCGGAAAGGCCACATGAGGTTGCCTTTCCCAGACTGTATCACTTCTGCCTCTAGAGGTGAGCTCGAAAATCTGTTTACTAGAAAACCTTGGGTACTTTTGGGGAGAAAGGTGGGATAGAAATATTTTAAATAAATTAATTAAATAATAAAACAAAACAAAACATTCTTCTCAAACCAGCCTGTGAGAGAGGTGGAGAAAACATGTGTATGAGTGTAGGTAAAAGAGGAGTGTATGGGGGGGACAGATTTTTGTGAAAGGGGGAGTTAGCTCGGCCTGTCCCTTTTGGCTTTGCTCCAACCCTCACTGACTTGCAGGTACTGAAGGATTAAGTTACCAAAGAATGAGACTCTCAGCTGAAAGACATTCCTCATCCCTGATGTAAGTACTAGAGAAGGGGCCAGATTCCGGAGGTTACATTTAGTGGCAATGGAAGCTTATAGGTTAATATATATTCCCTGAAAAAAGCTTGGACCCTGCATTACCTGAGCGTAACCCTTAC